TCTCTCTCTCTCTCTCTCTCTCTCTCCCTTTCTCCAATGCATCCTCCTCAACTGGCAGCCCAGTGATCAAAATTCTTTAGTGATTCTCCATTGTCTCTGGTAAAATATCCAAACTCCTTAGCTCTGAATGCAAATATTTTCACCATTTGGCCTCTGGCTATCTTTCTAGCTTCATCTACCACCTCATATCCCAGTCAAATCTATGCACATGTTATTATCTCATTCCTATCCCAGTCTTCCTAGACAATTTATTCTTAATAGCAATTAATACTAACAGCTACTATTTACTGAAAACTCACCATGCTCCAGGCATATGCTCTTCATTTGGCCCTCATAACAATTTGTAAAAAATATATTATCTGTATTTTATAAATGAGGAATCTGAGTTGGAAAAGGTTCGGTGATTTTTTTCCAAGACCTCACTGATATTAAACGGAAAAGTCTAGAATTAAAACTAGATCTGCCTGATGCCAAATCTTCTACCCCACTCCGATGTTCTGTGAAGCCTCTCTGATCTCATCCCCCACTCTCCTTCTACTCATCTCTAGGGAAAATTAGTCACCCATTCCTTTCTATTTCCATAACATCTTTTCCATATTCGTATTTCAACACTTCTTTGTCTTCCTTTACCAGCAAACTTTGAGCTTTCTGATGATAGTGAATTAACCTATTAAGCTCTGCATTCATAACATATGCCTGGAGATCAATAAATATGTTGGACGGACAAGCAACACCTCTACTCCAGCGAGACACTGTGTTAAAGCTTCGGGGTGATGTGAAAACGTATGACAGTACTTAACTCTGCAGAGTTTAATGCTTGCTTGTTTTGTGTTGACTCCCTATATCGAAGACACATTATTTGATTTTAAGTTAGTAGTTACCAGAGCCTATCAGATCTAATTTCTACTAACCCAGAAGGCCCTTGGATTATTGGTGAAAAATATGACTTTATTTAAGCACAAAAGCGGGTATTAATGAACACGATCTTCTCAGTCTTCTGAAAAGATTGTTGCTTTCTTTTCAGTCTTCAGGAATTCTTTAGCCTAAAATTTTCTATATATCTATGTATCTCTGGATTTCCAATTATTGTAGCATTGCATTAAAAATTTACACAATATTTGGCAGTATTTTTGTTGTTCTGGAACTGGGATGTACTATATCTAGTTTCTAAATAATATATTGCTCATTACAAAAGATGGTAAGTTGGGATCCAACACTAGCAGAGCATTGTTCTGAGTATTTCCAGGACTAGGGCAAGGGTACACTTA